ACCCAGGTACATGCCCTTGACCGGAATCGAACCTGGGACCTTTCAGTCCGCAAGCCGACACTCTATCCACTGAGCCAAACCGGTTTCGGCGACTAGCAGACTTTTATAACATATCATTCACAATACCCCGTATAAAATAAGAAATTAGTAGAAATATGAACAAGCAGGAAAATGTGATCCATGATGAAGAGAAAGAAAAAAATAGAAGCAGGACCCCTAATGACCCAGATGTTGAAATGATCAGATAAGGACTTACAATAACTGCTATAAATATATTTAAGAATTAGCAGGGGAGCCGAAAAAAATGGGTGAGTATATGGGGAATCCCTAAAGAGAAATGAAAATGCTAACTAAAAAGAAAGAGAGAGAGGAGGAAATAGAAATCTAGAAGTAAAAAATGATCGGAGATGAACTTTTCACAGGATGGACTTAACAACAGCACTCCGTTGAAGAAAGAACCAATGTCCTCAAAAAGGGTAATAGAAACAACTCCATCTAAAGCTTGAATAGAAAAAAGAAAAAAAAGGGAACAGTGCCTTACTGACCTGCAGGACATCAAATTTTCTTCTACATGTGTGAATGAGGAAGACACGGATCAGAATAAATATTTGAAGAGATAATGGCCAAAATGTCCATGGTTGATGGTAACCACAAATAGATATATCATGGACAAATTGCCGAAAACCAAAGATTAAACAACCTACGGGAAACAACACATTACCTTCAGAAGAACAAAAGTTAGGATTCTAACCTGACTTTGTATCTAAAACAACGGAAGCCTGAAGGCAATAAATAAAACTTTTAAAGGGCTGAAAGAAAAAACTGTCAATCTAGAATTCCACACCAAGTAAATACATTCTTCAAAAACAAAAGCAGGAGAGTGATGTTGGCAATATGGCAGACGAAGAAGCAACAGCAAATTAACAAAATACAGACCAGAACAGGGGTGGGCAAACTTTTTGACTCGAGGGCCACAATGGGTTCTTAAACTGGACCGGAGGGCCGGAACAAAAGCATGGATGGAGTGTTTGTGTGAACTAATATAAATTCAAAGTAAACATCATTACATAAAAGGGTACGGTCTTTTTTTTCAATAGTTTTATTCATTTCAAACAGGCCGGATCCAGCCTGCGGGCCGTAGTATGCCCATGGCTGGACCAGAACATCTCTAGAACTCCACTGAACAACTGAGAAGCCACAGCAGCTAAGCCAGTGGTTCTCAACCTTCCTAATGCCGCGACCCTTTAATACAGTTCCTCATGTTGTAGTGACCCCCAACCATAAAATTATTTTCGTTGCTACTTCATAACTGTAATTTTGCTACTGTTATGAATCGTAATGTAAATATCTGATATGCAGGATGTATTTTCATTGTTACAAATTGAACATAGTAATTAATCACAAAAACAATATGTAATTATATATGTGTTTTCCGATGGTCTTAGGCGACCCCTGTGAAAGGGTCGTTTGACACCCCCAAGGGGTCGCGACCCACAGGTTGCGAACCGCTGACCTAAGCCATTGTAAAACCAAGAAGGGATTCCAGTATACCGGTCTGAAAATTCCTGACATTTGGTGTGTCTATTTGTGCTTGGCACCGCATAGTTGCAGAGCAGCTGGGAGGAAACCCCCATGCTGGGGATCCTCCTTCGGGATGGAAACAAAAAAGTGGACCCTGTGGCCAACATTCTGGCTTGTCTGGGGGCTGCAGGAGGAAGAGGTTTCTGTCCTGTCTCGCTCCAAGCACTGATGGGATCTGCACTACGGTTTGGTAGCTGCTGAAAGCGCGTCAGCATGTTAGAGCTGCAGTTCTGTTGGCAGACACCAGGGGGAGAAAGATACTTAAAAAGGTTAGGGAGGTCCGAGAACAGCCTGCAGTATTATCGATGAAGGTCTTCCCCTGCACAGAGCCAGTATGCAAAGCCTGGGAGGGGTGGTTGTTTTTTCAAATGCCCAAATTCCAGAAAAGAAATTACAAGGCATACACAGAAACAGGCCCAATCAAAGGAACAAAATAAAAATCCAGAACAATCCTAAAGAAATGCAGATCTCTGCACTGCCTGACAAGGAATTCAAAATAACTGTCATAATGTCATAACACAAAGATGCTCCATGAGCTGAAAGAGAATATATACAGACAACTAAATGATAAATGAACAAAATGAGAATACTGACAAATATGGAAACTATAAAAAGAACAAAACGGAAATTATGAAGCTGAAAAATACAATAATTGAACTGAAAAATTCATTAGAGGTGTTCAACAGCCTAGTTGAGCAGGCAGAAGAATAAACAAACTCAAAAACAAGCCTTGGAAGTCATCGAGTTAGAGGAGCAAAAAGAAAAAAAATGAAAAAAAAGTGAAGAAAGGATAAAGAACTATGGGACATTATGCTATCTTCAAGACTCACTTTAGATTTAAGGACATATATAGACTGAACATGAAAGGACGGAAAAAGATATTCCATGCAAATGATAACCAAAAGAGATGCAAAAGGTAATGGCAATGCAAGTGGTAGCCAGGAATGGCTTAAATGATGTGCTAAGATATAAATTAGGTCTTGATAAATTAAAAAAGATTAAAATCACATTGAGTAGATTTTTGGAACACAATAAAACGTAATTAGAAACAAAAACAAATAAACAAACAAAAAAATCCCCAAATATTAAGAAATTAAGGCACATGCTCCTAAGAAAATATGGGTCAAAATCATTTACTAGGGTTATTAGAAAATATTTTTAACTAAATGATAGTAAAAGCACAATATTCAAAGTCTTTGGAATACAGCTAAAGCAAAATCTAAAGGGAAAATTATAATTTTAAATGAATATTTTTAAAAAAGTCAATGACTTAGGCAACCAAACAAAAAAGGTAGAGAATCAAGTAAAGCCAAGGAAATTATAAGTAAGGAAATAATAAAGATAAGAGCAAAAGTAATTGACAAAGGAAAACGACAAACAATAGAGAAAATCACAAACCCAAAAGTTGGCTCCTTGGAAAGATAAGTAAAATAAATGAATTCCTTTCAAGATTATCAAGAAAAAGAGAAAAAAAAAACAAATTACCAATATCTGAAACTATAATAGAGACATCAATACATAGATTAAAATTATAAAGCAAATATTATCCCAGACTCAGAGGAGGCGCAGTGCTGAAGTGAAATTCTCAGGTGCGGAGTGCGCGCGGAGCGGGCTGGCGGCGCGGAGGGCGCGGTTGTTGTTTTCAATCGGGAGGGAGCTTCAGACTCTGAGCTCCAGAGCCGGGCGAGTCCCTAGGGACCCAGACTCAAACGCGAGAAACGGGACTGTCTGGCTTCGGTCGGAACTTGAAGGCAGCTTTCTCTCCGAGGTTTGCAGCGGTGGCTGGGACTCGGTGAGGCAAAGCCCCTAGGGACGGACCTGAGAGCAGCCATAACTGCTCCCTCCACCTACCCTGTAGATCCCCTGGAACCCTACCCGCCCAAGCCCTGCCCAGAGCCATTTGCCGGATAGCCGCAGGCAAACGCTAGATTAGCACCGCCCTAGAGATCTAGCACAGAAGCTCTCCCACTGCAGACACAGCTGGTTCTCACTGCCAATTGGCCGGAAGGTCAATTCCTCCCAGTGATTCTACAGCAACCAAGGCATAGCTACAACAAGATTGTGCACAAAGCCCACAAGGGGGTGCACCAAGAGTGTCCACCTCAGGTAACTGGGGAGGCTGAGCCACTGGGCCCTACAGGACACCTAGCAC